GAGCGCTCACTGGAAATCAGTTACTGTATATGCTCGAGTATATGCTGACCCGAATATCAGCTGAAGCACCTAATTTTACCACAAAAACTGCATTAAAAATGTGCTGAAGAACTTGGCTTATACTTGAGTATATATGGTATATGATCTCAGTTGGTTCAGAGAAAATATTATTTTTAAATCGTTGGTAAAAATCAAGTCCCTGGGTCGTGCTGCAGTGTGGGGTGTAGCTCAGCACACGTAAGTGGATATGGCTGAGTTTTTAAAAGAGTCTGGGAAACTCATAAGAAGTCCTAAGTGGGCTGGCAGACGACAACAAATCAGAATACCCTAGTAGGCTACTCACTTGCTACAATAGAGTTCTTCAAACTTCTTTGATACAGTATCACCTACATTTAAAAATAATAATCCAGTTCCTCTTGACACACTTTTCAATTGACACCTAAAGTTATTCCTCTTAAGTTTAGCCGTTGCAAAGGAGGTCAGTTTCTGACATATTATAATTATTGGCATTTGAAAATAAATTATATTGTTCCTTTAAATGAAACCAATAGAACCCAAATACCATTGTGAGTTTATGCTCATCTGTGATGATATTTAAGAAAATATATAAACATGTTCCTTTTTGAAGTCAGATATCTTACATAAATCTTCTTTCTCTTTAAAACTGATTTTTTAATTCATATGCACACTACTCCCAAACCATATAAAAAATACCTTTAAGCTTGAAAGTTTTAAAAATTGATCTTTCACCATGTCTACAGACTTAAACTCTTCAAAATTACTTCTTAGAATCGTCCATATATTAAAAATGGTTTTTAGGGTATAGTAGCAATAATTCTTTGTGTATCATTAATCAAACAAAATACACATTATAAATTATGGTCATGAAATAGGAAAAGTTGCTGCTGTTAGAAACAGCTCTGAATGAGAAGGGTGAGAGTATTTTTCAAGTAGTTCAAATGCTCAAAAATGAGTATTACTTGTTGTTAGAAACGCTAGCTAGGGTTCGGCTTCCATTCTACTTTTCCTTCCCCCTCTTTCTTTCCAACTTTAACAGAAGGCGGAAACACTGAGAAAGTGTCCACACAGATAGACGGCTGGGAAGGAAGGGTGTTTTCTTACAGCACTGCACTAAATTCTTTGAGCCCCTTCTAGGGTAGAGGCTAAAAATCAGGTAGGGACTTAGCATAAAAAATTACTAGAAATTCAATTCAGTCCTCTTTCAATTTTGTGAAAATCAAGAATTGGTGGTGTTGTCAGGTTAGCAGTAGGCTGCTAACCACAAGGTCTGCAGTTCAAACCCAGCAGCTGCTCCATGGAACAAAGATGAGGCTTTCTGCTCTGGAAGATTTCCAGTCTAAGAAACCTCGTGCAGGCTTGCTCTGAACTAAACTGGACTAGATTACAAAGAACTGGGAACCACTTGACTTAAAAAAGGGCTGCTCCCCCCTCAGAGTTATTTCCTTTTTCAGCGTGGACATCGATAAATCAAGGTGCCTTTGGATTGGCACCTCAGATACTTTCAACCCAGGAGAAGCTGAAGTGCCCTTGAAGCTGCAGTCAGAGTACTCTCGTCTTTTATAAAGCAAGAGGAGGATGGCTCTGAAAAGACACATTGTCCCCAGGCAGCTCAGGTTTTAGAAAGAATCCATACAGAAAGTGAGGTTCTAGCAAACAATCCCCTTTAAAACTCTATCTGTGTTCCAGTCTTAGTTGGACAATCTTTCTGTACCCCAGGGGTACACACATCCCAGTTGGAAGTAGGCAGCTGCAGCAGAGTTAAAAGTAACCATCTGTAGGAGGGGGAAAATGCATACATTTATATTTGAAATACACTCTTGCGTTACCTGCATTGCTTCTCTTGAAAGCAAATTCTGCCCCAAGGGGCGCCAAGGACTTAGAGAATAACGGATTATTCCAAGTGTATGGATTCGCGTCCTTTCTACTGCTTATCAAAGACACATTCTTAGGATTTACACCTTCGGAGAACAAAACAAGCATTTCAAAGGTGAGTGGGTGGTCATCTATGTCAAGGCAAAAATATATAAAACATTCAAAACAGAGACTAGGAATAACTGGAGAGAATGGAAATAAAGTTAGGCAACCATGTAGCAAATACTTGCCTTTTGATGGACCCTAACCTGATGTGCTTTTTAGCAGAGTCTGGATGGCAGCGAGCTGGGTTTCTTGGTTAAGTAATAATAAACATTTGACATTCTTGTTAAACGTCTTGTAAAAACCCCTAATTCCCTTACTTCAAAGGAGGCTACAAGTCAGTCAGCAAATATTGACTGAGCACTTACTCCGTGTCAGGCAGTGTGTGTGGCAGTGAAGAGCAATTCTTCAAAGAGATGCGTTCCCCTGGTGCGCGTACTATAGTAAGGAAAACTGGGGACCAAGAACTCAGGGGAGCTTGGCAAGTAGCACAATGGATAAGCAAAGACCCACCTGCATGGCTGATTTGTGTCTTAGACATGGTAAAAGAGAAGGCAATGAACATGTACATAGAAATGAGATCAGAGCAAACTATCAGTCTGAACACACTAGCCGCCCCAAGGGAAAAAGATGAGGCTGTCTGTTGACAGAGTGACGGTCTTGGAGACCCAACGGAGCAACTCAGTTCTGCCCTTTATGGTTGCTATGGGTCAGAACTGACCGGATGGCAGTGGGTTTGAGTGATAAATCGAGTCAGCCATGGGCACCAGTGGCTAACCACAGCTTTAATCTATGGATCTGGCGAGTTGTTTTGTTTCATTTTAAAAATTGAGAAGGACTTGACCTTGTTTCCTGTCCACTGATAATTACATACGATTAGACTTCTGAGATGATAGGAGGGCTGTCATGCCACCTAAACTCACACACGAGTGTTTCCTTCAGACATCATCACTGAGGGCTCTGCTCATTTAGGGTGTTACCAACTGTTCCCAGGAAGTAGGAAACTTTTGCTTGACAGTCAATGAATTTTTTTTTAAGTTTCATATTTATGAGATATGTAATAAAATCCCTTATCTTGAATCCTGAAGTATGAGCCTCAAATCTTACTTATAATCAACCCTCAAAAATAATGACATCAAAACCACTCTATCTGGTAATACACTACCCTTTCTTATACGCTATAGTTTCTTATGGGTTTGGGCTTTTAATAAAGTAGATATACAATAGGCAACTACCTAGCAATAAAAAAATGTACTTTTTTTAATCCATCATATAAAAACATTTTTACCCAAAGAGAAAGTAGAGGGAAACGTGAATCATCTCTTTAAGTGAACCCTGTTTTCAACAAAGGAAAAGCCTTGAACTATTCAAAATATAATTTTTTAATTCCATCATCCTTGGCAATATTTTTTAAGTAGTTGGTTTTGTAAAGTACATAAATAGAATATTGAAGATAATCAGTTGGATTCTAGGCCTTTTTAAAGATGAAGCGTAACTCCAAATTTATTGGAAACAGACACACTGTAGAATTTTAAATGATTAGTTTACAAGCTTTTATTGAACATCAAATATACATCTCCAACACTGTGTTCAGAAGTAGAACTCCATATAGCATCATCTCTCACTTCAAATGAGGTCAAACATCAGTTAGCAAACATTCACTGAGCACCTACTACGTGCCAGGCAGAGCGTGTGGTACTGGAGAAAAAGCAGTGTGAACGACACAGCACAAACCTGTGTCTACCCTTCTGGGTCTTACAATCTAAGAAGAGAGGCATTAAATAGTTACAATCAACAGCATGCAAAGTGTTTAGAACACACACAGGTTCCCAAACTTATTTGGTCCTTTTCAGAAACAAAAGTATTCAACCAAGTCATTAAAAACGTTTGTGCTACAGCCCACAAACCAGGATAAAGAGCAAGTGCCTGCTGGTGCAGTCTGCCCCCCACCCCCACCTCCCCCACTCATTCCAGCGTGCTGTTTAAGAAGCACTGCTTTAGAACAGAAGCAACTAAGCCAGTCTTTTCATTTTCAAAAAAAGCAACTTCAAGCTGACACGTGAAGAATGTTCAGGGCTCACTGGGAGGAGGTGTGCGCACCTGGGAGAAGCAGGAGCACAGGTTCTCCAATCAGCTGAGAGGGGAAAGAACTCAGGAAGGTCGGCATGGGCAGGACAAGCAAAAGGAGGATGGGGGTGAGTGGGGCCCAGATCGTGTGGGAGTTTGTGGGAAACAGAAGGATTTCTCCCAAGTTGTCTCCCCCCAAAATATGCCAAACTTAGCTGCTTGCAAATAACTTGGAGGTCATCAGAAGTAGATCATGGGTTATTCTCCCTAAGGGTTATCAGCCATCTAGAGCAAGCAGTCACCATTGTTTATCCCACAAGTAGCGTCCACTCCCTTCTGATGATAGTAGTTGTGTTTCCTTGTAGGAGACCCCAGAGGTCAAGCCCACCCAAGGGTGATCAAGGGTTAGGCAGCAATCATGAAAGTAGGGTCCGCCCATCTTGTCACATGTCTATCTCTAGTCCCTCCCATTCCTACGTGCACACCCCTAACTTATCCCCTTCCTGTCACGCTTATGCCTATCGTACATCCTCTTCCTATGATGTGTATGCCTGTTGTACTGCCCCTTCCTGTGACGTGTGGTTACCTGTAATCACGCCCCCCTAAGTAATTATAACCCTTGGTTAGCAATAAAGCGGATCTCTCCTGCTCTCCCACCGGAGCTCTCCCAACGAGGACCACCAAGCGGGGCTGAGGTGAGCATGCTACTATGAATTGTGTCTGACTCCATTACTTCAATCTCTCTCCTATTTCTCATGCTCTCTATGACTTTAATATTTACTTATTAACGCTGTACAATTGCACCTACCGGACCTATGATGATTTGTTGGGGGCCCTCCTTTCCCCCACAGGAATTCTGAATTCCAGGGAAAGACATTCATAAAATGCAGCTGGAGAGGCAAGTATAGAACTGACACAGGGTACTGCATAAACAGAATAAAAAGAAGAATCGAAGTGATGGATGGGGTAGAGAAGTAGCCACAGCCCAGGGTTTCAAAGGGATTAAGGTGTGAGTGCTCTGCCTGTGTTCTGAGCACACGGCTGCTCGTTTGAGAACTCAGACTCCTGCATCTCAGCCAGCGTCACAGATCTGCCAGTTCCTACAGTACAAGGTCACGATGTCCTACAATTCCACGGTACATCCCTATAGCTCTCATCATCCTAGAGGCTGAAGCTTAATAAACCCTTATCTACTTGGCTTTATGGTGAAAAAGAGAGGGCCCCAAGGATATTATTATTTTTACTCCCAGAAAGTACTCGACTATAAAAATAATGGCACTGACTGCTCCTGTTAAGGGTGATGGAACATTTGGGAATGGTTCATGGTGATGGTTGAACAACATGCTAAGCACACTTAGTGTCGCTGAATTATACTTGTCCTGGAAACTGGCTGATGTGACACACGTCTTATTTTCTAACGATTTACCACAAAGGCAAACCAAAAACTACGGATCATAAAACAAAATTTCAGGGACATACTTGGCTTTTACCCTTTGTACTGAGCCTGGTTCAAGTTGGGGTTGGGAAGTGCTCAAAAAACTTTATCTACTGGCTTGAACTAAACTATTACCTGGTCTCTAACCTCCTCACCCAGAGCTTAAAGGGCCATAGTCAATAGAGAGAATGACCATGGGGAAAAGAAAGGTCTAAGCTTATACTTCAAACAGTTCGATTGAATCTGGGGACTTTCTTTCGGTCTAATCAGAACCATGCTTCCAACCCAGAGTAATTTGCACTTTGTTAGACTGGTTTCAGTCTAAAAGAAAACATCCACACTAAACAGGGGCCCTGAAGACAACATCAGTGAGCAGAACTAGGAGAAATTCAGATCCATTTATCTTTTGGAAAATTTTTACAAATGCTCTTTTCTACCACCAGTTGGCTCTCTTCTAAACAAACTTGCTCAGTTTCTATCAGACAACTACACTCAATTCCTCTTTAATTTGTAATCTGGGGGGAAGTCTCCCCCCTGGAATCCACGTTCTACAAACGTCCTCCTGTCTTGCTTTCGCAATCACACCCCAACTCTCGCTGCTCCCACACCAAAGTGTGCACACCCACTGGAACTCTGTCGACCTTGGTTAAAGCAGAGGTCTCTGCTGTGCTCAAGTGGACCCCGTCTCTCAAGTCCCCGTCACCCCTTCTTCAGTCTCACACTCGGTCCCCCCCTCTATTACACAGCCCATTCCTGCCTTTGTGCCCACTTTCCTTCCTCCCCCTCGCGATTCGCGCGGAAACTGCTCAGTGAGGCTTGATGTCATCAACAGCCTTGTGCGGTTAAACTTCATTGGAAAATGTCCAGCCCAGGCGGCCCAACAGCTCGGCACCACGCGATCCCTTTTTAGGTCAACTCTTCCATCGTGGCAGGTTTTATAGTCCAAACCGGGGGACCTTTTCCTCGTCCCCCTCACTTGGTGGGCTGCTGCTTCTCAGCTACTTTTAGCTCCTCCTCCTCGACCTCTCCCTTCTAAAGGTCACCCAAGGGTTTTCCCTACAGAATTTCTCCAGCGAAGATCCTGGCCAAGCCCGTGGGTTTCCATGCCTCTGGGTGCCACAAACACCAAGCCGATGGCTGTCGAGTCGAGTCCCACTCACGGTGAACCCATCTGTGGGCACCATGGGGTTTTCAATGGCTCAGTTTTTTCAGAAGTAACTTTCCAGTCCTTTTTTGGAGTGGACCGGAAGCTCCAGTCTTCTGGTTAGGAGCACTGTACCTAACTGTGTGCGCCACTCAGGGACTCCTAAACCTGTCATCTCATGCTCAGTCGAGGCTCTTCCATCTGACTGCCTGCTTGACCCTTCTACATTGGAATATTTCCAACTGTCTTAAAGATGACACCCCCAACTGTCAAGGAAGATTTCGTCTCTACCCCAACCTACACACTGAGTCTCCCCATCTCAATAAAGATCAATGCGTCCACCCAGGCTTCGGGCACCCAATTCGCCTCCCCCTTGCTTCCCACTAACAATCCAGCAG